GGGGGGGGGACAGAAGCAGGGATTAGAGCTCATTTATTAATCCTGTCTCAATTAACTACTTCTTCCCCAAGCCAGCTTCCACCTTCCTGGCACCCCTTGGTTATTTTTAGAGGCAGGCAGGCACTCAACTGGGAATCTACTCCGCTGTTTTCATTTCTCTTTCTCTCCCTCCCTTTCCCAACCCTGCATTTGATGTCCAGTCCAGTGCTCAGCTTTCCATCAAACTGCAGCAGCTGCTTAATCGCTTAAAGCACCAGCTTAGCTGTGAGATCCAGCTTAATCCAGGCCTGATTTCTCCTTTGCCCCTCCATTAAAAAAACTCCTATATGGACCCTGCCCTCTTTTCTCCCCCATCCAGCCCCTCCCCAGGAAAGAGCAGGTTGTACATGGCCTGGATGCCGCCCACTTACTCTCCCTTGTATGTTCCCACCTCTCTTATGTATGAGAAGCAGGGGGTGAATTCCTGATTTTTAAACTATACTGTCGCTTTTCAGAAAAGGGAAATGGATATACTTGGTGAAATTCAGCCTGAATTGGGGCTGCAGAGAATGTGGGAGTGGCACGAAGGGAAGGAAAAATCTGCAGCTATGCCTCTGCCTCTTCTGGGCAATCCACAGCCCCAAATTCCCCACTCCGTGGGCCTGACCTCGAGCTTGTTCCCAAGTGCTACTAGAGCATCCACCCTTAAAAACAGCTCTCTTCCTGTATCTTCAAAGACTCAGCATTTCCTGGCCTTTCCCAACCATGGACAGGATCTCTTTTACTGCTTCCAGTATTTTGGTCCAAAACTGTTTCTGATTTTGCTAGCCTGGTGATGTTGTGTGAACGGATACCTGTTTGTTATTTTGGTAGGCAGGGTAAAGTTATGGAAGCAGCTTTGTTGCTCAGCCTGAGGCACCTGTGGGAAGGAGAGACAGCTAGAACTAAGAAGACAAGGCCCCCGCCGGCTTCTGTTACCCTTGGACTGAGTTTGCACAACCCACTAGACTAGGCTAAAATAGGTTTTGATAGTCTGCAGTTCAATATGTAAATGGGAACCTCGCTATTGTCTTAGAATGCAGCATGCTTGGGAATAGCATGTTGTGGGAACCCAGCCCTTGTGTTTTGCTAACTCGGGTTCAGGATCAAATGCCTAACCAAATCCAACCAAAATTTGCCCAGCTTTGGCCCTCTTGTGAGAGGTGGTTCCCAACACCAGTACTGAGATGCTGCAAGAAGCTGATGGATAGAGAGATGGGTAAGAGGATGGGGAGTCTTATGGAAGAAGGAGCAGAGAGAGGAAGAGGAAGAAAGGTGAGGTGAGGAAGAAAGAAAGAGAGGAAGAGGAGAAGGAAGGGCCAGCAAGTGGGGGTGGACCCTGAGAAGAGAAACAGCGGAGGGAAGGGGCTGGTGATGCAGTATTAATTTCCATCTGGGAGCTGGTCTCCATGGCAACAGAGAAGATCTGGCAACTCCATTGGGAGCGGTTACCACAGCAACAACATCCTGGTGGTTACTGAAGGAGGAGAAGCCAGAAAGAGAGATGGTGCAAACAAAGATGGGAGGGGTGGGAAAAGAGACAGCAAGGAGCAAAAGAGCAGGTAGATGTAAAAGGGGGGGGGGCTTTGCTGAAGTGGAAGAACCATGTGTTGCAGACAATGCCCTTTGGATATGTCACCTTGGGTGTGGTCCTGACCCAGCCACAGCTGCATGAAGGGGCACATCCAGGTGACCAGTGCATGTGCTTGGTGCTTTTGTCAGACATGATGATTAATCTTCACCCCTCCTTTTGTGTTTTCAGGGGATGGGAGCGGCACTTGGGCCAACCCTGGGGACCCCCCAGGTGGCCATGTTTTGTGGGAAACTGGTCCTACATCTCAACGTCCAGACAGGGCACTGGGAACCTGATGCCATTGGCACCCGCACCTGCTTCCATACCCCTGAGGAGATCCGGAGCTACTGCCAGGAGGTACACACAGATGCGTGCACACACACATACACTCATAAATGTGCACACCCCCAATCTTCCTCCTGTCCCTCCAAAGCTTGCTTTTTTCTTTCCCCATCTACCTCTTCTCCTGATTTCATCACCCCTTCCTACTCTTTCATCACTACTCCCCTGAGCAGTCCTTCTGCTGACAATCTTGCGGTACCCACAAATCCATTTTTAATCTTTAGCCTTCTGTTGGTTAGAGCCTCCACCAGCCTATTGCTGTCTAATTTACCACATGTCTTTTGCTGATAGTCCTAGGAACTCAAAAAACAACCTTCGGTTCATCTTAAACTTTTCTCCAACCCTGTGACAGTACTCCATGTGGGGTTAACTGAGGGAAAGAGAAGTCACAACATCTACTCCTATCTGGTCTTTTTTTCCCCCCTTCAAAAGATCTGGAGATGTTAGGGATTGTTCCTTCATTGAGGCTAAGTAGCTTACATACCTAGATAGAAGTTCATCTGGATGCTGCTTTGTATTCCTTGGAGGGAGAAGGCAGACTTCCAAAATATTTAACAAGGACATACTTTTATATTACCCTTTTGCAATGTGTCAGCCATACACACTGAGGAAACTTAGGAACTGCAATGCACTAACACATTCAAGGTTATGTTACTGGCTGAGCTGGCTTAGACAGAAGCTGATCAGATGCAAACAACAGGCACCATGCCCATGATCTAAGGCAGTGTTTCTTAAAGTGTGGTCCTAAGACCCTGGAGATCCCCCAAGACCCTCTCAGGTGTCCACGAAATCAAAATTATTTGCCAGCCTATGTTGAAAAATAATACAATATTAAAATCCCATCAAACAATCGTGAGAAGTGGTACCAGCAGCAAATGCGTCAATTTTAATTTTTAATACAGTAAATATTGATAAATATAACCCATACAAACACAAGCTCTTTTGGGGTCCTCCATAATTTTTAAAACTGGGAAGGGGTCCTGAGAGAAAAAGGTTTAAGAAACACTGATCTAAGGATGTACAGATTCCATCTCATCTGCCTTGATATGAAGTTTTCAGGTTTACATGTCAGTCTTTGCTACTTGATCTTTGGATCTCTTTGTCATGCATGCACATATATGTATAGATATAACATAGCTACATCACAATATTGCTTCATGTTATTGTACAAATCATAGACTCAGTAATTCTCTCCCACGTGTTTCCCTTTGGGTCAGGCAGACCTGGTTATGTCTTGCTCCTTGCTCACTACAAACAAAACTTCCACCAAGTCCCAAGACACAACAACAAGAACTGATTATATGTTTGATTTGGTTATGTACCATCAAGTTGGTGTTCACTCTTAGCAAACATAGATAGTCCTTCTCCAGGATGATCTGTCCCTAACCTGGCACTTCAGGTCCTCCAACGGTGCACCCACCACCACTATAATCGAGTCCACCCACCTTGCTGCTGATTGTCCTCTGCGTCTCTTTTTTCTACCTTGCATAATGTGATACGATAATTTGAAACGGATAATTATTACCTTGAATGAGAACTCTGGATTAATTTGTTCTGTGATCCATGTGTTTGTTTTCCTGGCTAACTATGGTATTCTTGGGAGTCTTCTCCAGCACCAAAATTCAGAAGTACCATTTCTCTGTCCATCCTGCTGCTTTAGAGTTCAACTTTCGCTTGTGTAGAGTGTCACAAGGAAAACTGTTGCTTGCATGGCTCTGAACTTGATAGGTATAGACACCTCATGGTATCTGAATATCTTTTCCAAGGCCTTCATTGTTACCCTATCAAGCACTAGGCTACAGTGTATTTCTTGCCTGCTGGTTCCTTTACAGTTGATAGTTGATCCTACAAGGAAGAAGTGATCCTCATTCAGTGTCTTCATGGTCAATTCTAAGGCTGGTTGCTGTACCTGTTGTTGTTAGCTGGGTCATTATATTTAAACATAGTCCCATTTTTTCATTGTGTTCCCTAGTTTTAGTACTAGAACTTGCAGAACTGCAGGTAATAAATTCTTAGTCTCATTACCTGCTCTTTAGGAAGCCATCGTCTCTACATCAAGGTCCATCTACCATGATAGCGGTTGTAATCCACATCACCCTGGCTCACCATTAACCGACAAGGCATAGAAGGGATGACAAAAAGTAACAGTCCATTCCCAGAATGTTATATTTTTCCCCCAGATTGGACCAACCTGTTTCAGAGATAATATGTACATATCTGAAAAATGTATTTTCTGGAAGATGAATTAGGGCATAGGACACCCAAGAGCCTGCAGTGGACATTTGGGCCAGCAAACTGTATTTTAGGATGTGCAAACTGTATTCAAGAAAAAGAGCACTAAAAGGCTCTTTTAGTGTATCAGAGGTTGGCCACCTCTGATTCAGGCCTTGAGCCCTCACGTTTTTAGAATCTGCCTCGCTTCCA